GGTGGCTGCTTAACTCTGCTTGGTGTTGGAGTTCTTCAGTGTCAAAGCAGGTGGTCTCTGGAAACGTGATAGCCTTGAACCTTTTGCTTTCAGGTGGCTACAACAGAGAGGAGTGTTTGCGCACCGTGGAATGCTACGATCCGCAGAAGGACACATGGACCTTCATTGCACCAATGAGAACACCCAGAGCCCGGTTCCAGATGGCAGTTCTAATGGTGTGTGGTGGGTGGAGATCAGGTGCAAGGGGACAGTGCATGAACCTAGGTAGTTCAAATAGGGCACACTTTTCCAAAGGGTAACAGAAGTTGCTTCATTGCAGCTACAGGGTTGCTAAAGAGCTAATGATTGGAATGGTTGTGTGCTTATTTGTGAGGCAGGCATTTACTCTTTCCACTTAGGGGCAGCTGTATGTTGTTGGTGGGTCAAATGGTCACTCGGATGACTTGAGCTGTGGAGAAATGTATGAGCCAGAAATAGATGACTGGACTCCTGTTCCTGAACTGAGAACCAATCGCTGCAATGCAGGTAACTCAGCTGCAGTTGATCAACTGTTATGTTTACCCACATTTATTCATTTATTAGCTTGCTTACTGCTCTTTCCTCTGTGAATAGGAGTGTGTGCCCTGAATGGAAAACTGTACATTGTTGGTGGTTCAGATCCTTATGGCCAAAAGGGACTTAAGAACTGTGATGTATTTGATCCCATAACAAAATCTTGGACCAGCTGTGCTCCCCTCAATATCCGTAAGTTTGATGTCTAGTTTGGGAGGGAGGGAAGGAAGGACAAGTGCACGACTGCGCTTTAAAACCAAACCCAAGCAAGCTGTGGAGATCTCAGCTGCTGTGGTGCAGTGTTGGGGCATGACTCGTGTGCAGGGCTGTGACTCCTGGTGTTGCTTGCAGGGAGACACCAGTCTGCAGTGTGTGAGCTGGGGGGATATCTGTACATCATCGGTGGCGCGGAGTCGTGGAACTGCCTGAACAGCGTGGAGCGGTACAACCCCGAGAACAACACGTGGACCCTGATGGCGCCCATGAACGTGGCTCGCCGGGGAGCTGGGGTGGCTGTCCATGATGGTAGGTGCCATGGGCCTCCAGCCTCTTGTACTCCATCAGCTCTTCATGTCCAGCATGGGGCCTGGCTGGCATGGGGCTGCCTCTCCTGTCATTGAAACCGTAACCAGAAAAACAAAAAACCCCTGCTTTGAGGGCATTCCCTGCCACCTCTTTCTTTGCCAAACATCACCCTGCAGCTTCAGCAACTGCACCGGGTTTGCCTTTGGACCCAGTCAGATCTAATGATCAAAAGTAGGTCAGAAAAGTAGGTCAATACTGTAGCTTCAGACCTTGATAAAGGCAAAGATTTCTGACGCAAAACCTGAAGTTCCTTCCTCTTGGCTTGGTTTATCTCCCCGGAAGGGAGGCCGTGTTCTGCAACACAGCTGGTGCTTAGGGTTGCATGCTGACTTTGTTTCCTTTCCCTAGTAGGGGTGAAACACTGACTTTGTTTCCTTTCCCCAGGAAAACTGTTTGTGGGTGGAGGCTTTGATGGCTCTCACGCGGTGAGCTGTGTGGAGATGTACAACCCTGCCAGGAACGAGTGGAAGCTGATGGGCAGCATGACCACCCCCAGGAGCAACGCTGGCATCACCACGGTGGCCAACACCATTTATGCAGTTGGGGGATTTGATGGCAATGAGTTCTTGAACACAGTAGAAGTCTACAATCCCGAGTCAAACGAATGGAGCCCCTACACAAAAATTTACAAGTTCTAAGTGAATTAAATTCCCTTTTCAAACTAACAGGCTTAGTGATGTAATTGTGTTTTAGTAGAGGTACAGATGTGAATAGGGTGGGGGAGGGCATAGATGTTGCCAACAGCAACACAGAGCTTTTGCATATTGCATATTAATGTGCTGTACATATTTGTTTTGGAAGAATATCAACATGAAGGGGGGGGTTTTGTGTCTTTTAGAACTTTGGTTTAGGGGTTGTTTGTTTGTCGTTACTTTATTTCTAAGATTTTTGAAGATAATGCAAGAGGAACTAGACTGGGCATATCACTTCAGGAGCTTCCCCCAGGGTTTGTTTTGTCACTTTGCACATTAAATGACTTTTCCTGCAGGATGTGTTGCTGGGGCAGGAGGTGTAAGGTTTATGGGGGATTGTTTTTTTCATCAGGCCTTGTTTCCTTCAGTAACTGGAACAATCTGTAACAAGAAGCCTTATTTAAATAGATATACTGGCTATTTTTTTTATTAAAAAAGCTGACATGCCTGCCAATACCTTATCTTTTATGATTGCCTTTTTATAACAGTTTTTATATGCTCAGCAGAGGATTTTATCTGTTGACATGAAAATGGCAGATAAATGGTTATCGAAGCAAAGAGACAACCTTGGAGTTGATGGAGACCAGGCCAACTGATGTACCACTGGACATGTGAGCTGCTGAGCTTTGGCCTCTGCTGCAGCAGTGTAACCTAGTCTGCAACACCTTCCTTAGTGCTGAATGGAGTTTCTGAACATAACATAGCTGTGACTTTCTAGGGTGGGAAAATTGTCTTGGCTCCCAGTCTCTGGACAGAGGGTGCTTCCTGGGCAGCAGTTTTGTTATGCTGGGCCAGCTAATCTTTCTAAAACAAGTTCAGGGGTTGTGGGGTTTCTCATGGTTTTTAAACTCTTGCCAGTTGGCAATGAAAATGTATTCACCTGATTAGTAACTGTCTTAAGTTTATTTTTTCTAATATTACAAGCTAAAAGTGTGAATAACTTGATTTCCTATGTGCTCATAGTCCTATGTTGTAGTTCACTCTCTCTATTCCTAGGGGTAAGACATGGGGTAGGATGAGGTGGTGTCCAATGTGTAGCTGCACATCTAACTCCCAGTGCCAAAACTAGCACTGACTGCTTGCTGCTGATGCAAACACATTAAAGGTACCTTTTGGGAAATCCTTGCACCACAGCCTTCGTGTGTGATGTCTCTTTGTCTCCTCTTTTTAACAAGACATGAGAACAGGCATGTCAAAGGGATGTAGGTTTCCAACAAAGTAGGATAGTTAACTGCTACCCCTCCAGCTTGAATTTGCTGAGTGGAAGGGATGAAGGGTTGTGTACACATCCCACCTGTGCCAAGAGGATTAGCTGCCCTCAGAACTGGAGGCAAAGGGCTCAGAGCAGGCAGCCAGCACCATCCCTGCTCTCCAGGGGAGATTTACCTGCACACAAGCTGCTCTCAGCATCAGTTTACTCAAAGCTCTCTGCAAATTAAAAGTGTGGTGCTCCAGAGGTGAGATGAGAAAAAGTGCATCACCCCATGGTAAAGAGAATGGACCAGTACTGTTGTAAGACACCTGATCTGTCGGGTTCCTCAGCACTGATCAAGTAACTTTGTGAGATTAAGCCACCAGTGATAGCACTAATTTCACTCACCAGCAGGGTCTTGGTTTACTGCAGCTATCTGATTCCAGCACTAGTAACAGGCCTCTGCTCCAGGTGATTCATGGAATTCCATGTTAGATTCCACATTACACAAACTACTCCTGCAGGAGTGGGCATAAGCAGACTGTACACTGGAGTGAGAAAATGCCAGACCAAAGAACTGAGGGCAAGCTGGGTGCAGTTGAAGAGGGAGAGCCATTATGAGGAGAGGTGAGGAGCTGCCTTAGTCTGTCAGCTGTCTGCCCTGGCAGGGGGTCACAGGTAGACGTGAGCTCAGCCAGACATCATGTGCTCAAGCTGGTCCCAGTTCCTCCACTTACAATACAAATAGCCCATAGAAGCTTATTGGAGCATAACATACTTACCCCAGGCTGTGGGTAACAACTGGAATGGAAGCAGCCCTTAAAACTAATTGTGCTCTGCCATTGAATGCTCCCTGCCTCTCTGGTGACTGAGCAAAGCAGACATGGAGCCATTCAAAGCAACATGGCCTGTAGAATTAACAGCCATTTACTGGAACAATAAATTACATTTTTACAACAAAGATTTTACAAATACATCCAAAAGTTAATATCAAAATAAAGGCTTCTAGAAGGTTGCCAGTCCTCTCGTCTCTGTACAAATCCATACATGAAAGAGGTAGCTTTAAAGGCCAGAGCAGCACTGAACAAAGGCTTTTGGAAAGTGTCATGGACTGAAAGCAGGTTTGGAAAAGCACAAACCACAGAGATGTCACCTGGCGAGCAGGGAGGAGTTGAGTCACAGAGTGTCACCCACAGAGAGAAAAACCACTTCTGCCTTTGCAAGAAAGGGTGGCCAAAGAGAAGGCTGTGAAGGTCCCGAGGAGTGGTGCTGGCAGGTCCTGCTGCAGGGGGGAAGGGGATGTTTCAGCAAAAACATCCCTTTCCTCTGAAAAGAGGTGCAGGACAAACACACCTGCCTGGGGGTGGGTTGTTTTGGTTTGTGGTTTGCTGTTTGCTTTTTAAAAAATAAGAGCATCAATCCCTTTCTTTCCCCCCCCTCCCCTGTCCTCTCTCAGGCCTCAGACAGTGCACTGTATAGGGTACATACATTGCATGAGGTCCAGTCCTTCCTGCCGGTAGGGGGGCAGATGTGGTGGGTGTCGGGCTGTGTCCAGCACCTCCCTTCCAGCCCCCCCTGCCACAGGAGCTTCTTTCTCCTCAACTGTCACTTCTCAATACCAGCCAAACAAACACCTCAGGTGGGTTTTCCCGCACAACCAGTAGCAGACCAGGCCCCAAGGTGAATGCCTGGACTTGGGCACAGCAGCCAGAGCCTCTGATGGATGCCAAACCAGCTGTATCCATCTGGAGACCCTCGCTTCCGACAGACAATTCCATCTGCTTGTGACTCTTAGTGGAAAAGCTGATTTTTAATGTATAGATGTTAAGAGATGCTTGCTTTTTCTTTTTTTTTTCTGTAGCCTGAATAGAAAAAAGCACCCTCAGGAATAGCCAGATTCGTGGCTCCTTGAACGTTTCCCGCTTGCACAAGGTGAAGGTGGGGGATAAAAGCTGCAGCTCTAAACCCTAGTCCCTGTGTCACAGCCAGCCCAGGCTCTTGGCTTCGGTGTGAACCACGGCGTGACACTGCTTGATGGTGAGCTCCAGCTGGGCCAGCTGGCAACAGCCCACCTCCAGCCGCTTCCTGGGGAAGAGGAGAGAGCAGAGGTTATCAGGACACAGGGAACCCATGTTGTAGGCAGGAAACGTTCAGGATATTCCTTTACAACCAAAACCAGAGCTGACTGGGGACAGTTTTTGTCCCCTGAAAGGCTTTGCTCTCACCACATCTCAGTCTCTGCAACTATAAAGACAGAGGACACGTGGAACTAATGGGGTGGTGGGGAACCCCAGAGAAAAGGAGAGGTCTTAGGTCATCACCACTCAGATCTATGAAAGGAAGTCTGGAATCTGCCAGGGAACTAACAGGCAAGTTCAGGGAAAAGAAAAAAAAAGTTTCTGATGGAAAAACTTGTGAATTTGCTGAAGATGCAAAATATTGCTGCAGCAGATCTCTGGGGCAGGGACAGTTTTTTTGTTCAATTTATATCCTGAAGATGACAGAATGCCAGGGGTTGGAAGGGACCTCTGAAGATCATCTAGTCCAACCCCTCTGCCAGAGCAGGATCCCCTAGAACAGGTTACACAGGAACATGTCCAGGAGGGTTTGAATGTCACCAGAGAAGGAGACTCCACAACCTCTCTGGGCAGCCTGTCCCAGGGCTCCATCATGTTCACCGTGAAAATATTTTTCCTTATGTTTATGATCTGGACCCTCGTCCTTGGTGGGCATCTTTTAAATGCTACTTTTAAAAGCCTTGGAGACAGGAAAGTGGAGAGAACTGCATGCAACCTTGACTTTAGCTTCTAGTAGACTTTTTCCTTCTCCAAATAAAACCCTTTGGATCAAAATTGTCAAGATAGGAGCATCTTTCGGTGTATCCTGAAAAAGGGACAGAGGACAAATATTCCAGACAGGAATTTAGCTCCCAAGGAATTCAGAGGCCAGGCTGAAGCAAAAATGTTTGCTGGTAACTGAAGGAAAACCACTTTGATCAACATGTTTCTGCCAAAGCACAACTAATTCAGCCTGCCTTAGAGCAGCCTCCTGGGCCTTTGCCCTTGGAACTTCTTTTTGTAGCTGAGTGCTTTTAAAACCTCATTTAGCATCTCTGCTTTATTGGGTGGAGTCATATTCCATATTTAGAGTCTCACTTCCAAAATTCCAAATAGCTTTACTGCTGTAATAACTGAGAACAACACTGAGACATCGGCAATACTTTGAAAATCTGTGGATTGACTTTACAGCAACAGATCTTAAACCTTTGCTTCCTTCGCTTTAAATGTTTTCAAGGGACACCCATGTAACAAAAACATCCCCTCACCCTCTACTGCTCATCCAGAGAATGAGAGTTCTGGCCAGGATGTTTTTTGGCCATGAAATCTAGTGTCCCACACAGAATTCACCACAGTGGTCTAAGTTTTGAGACTTTCTGAAAAAATACAGGCCTGGGAAAACCTTTAAAGCATGTGCCTTAGCACAATACCAAAGCCTGTGTATGGATGGTAACGATGGAGACGCCCACGAATGCCTGGACACGTGAGAACTACAGAAGTGCTGGTCACCAGCTCAAGCCAGTTAAGCTTCTGAACTACTTTTCTCCACCAATACCTAGACTGAATCTCTCCTTCCCTGCACAGCTCTTCTCCCCTGACCTCACGATTTGCACAAATGCACAGTAGGTTTAGGACGTGAGCACCAATCCAGGCAAAAGAAAAGCTTTTTAGAGTAACTTCCCCACTCAGATTAAAGCAATCTGCAAGCCTTTCCTGCAGCTGCTGGAGCCCTGCTTCAGAGCCTGGCAAGTTACAGCTAATTCATATCGACACAACAGCAAAGAAAATACCTGTCTTTTACTATCCACCTAATATTTATTGTTAAAAACATGGCATTTTACAAACCTCACAGAACCTGGCTTTACAAGCCTGCAATTACACAAATTCAGGAAGAAACCTTTTTTGTGACCTAGAAACCTTACACTAAACAACAGTAAGGCTTGCATGACACTCACTTGTAGATTAATGTTTTCACGGCCTTTAACTCAGATGTACAACAAACAGAACGTTTATTTTCCTGTGAGTGAACTACCAGAACTATTACCAGAAGTACCTCAAAGCAGAATTTGGGTTACAACCAAATGAATGTAACTGCAGTCTCATGCTCTAACCTGCCTCCCAATGAACACTAACCTACACTGGCTCTGTCTGCCACTAAGTCAGGAATGTAGAACTGGCAGAGGAAAGAGGGACCAATGTCTCACCTCAAAGTCAAACACCTGAAAATCACTGAGCAGATGCTAGTGGCTCAGTTCAAATATAATTTCTGTCCTCTCCCACTCTGTTGTAATAGTAGCTCATTTAAAGACAACAAAGGAAAAAAACCCAAACACATCCCCACTCATCTTCCCTGTGCTCCTCCTACAAAGGTGACTTATTTTATCCTAGCAATTTCTGTGACAGTACTTTGGTGAATACAGTGCAAGGTAACCAGCTTACCGATAGGTCTCTTCTGAAACACACTCATAAAGCTCCTCAGCAGTGAATTTTATGCTGTTATTTATCTAAAACAATGAGCAAAGAATTAATATATAATTTACCAAGCATTGATTCAAATTATACAGCAGGTATCACAGAGATGGTTAATGTCTCACCTAACAGGCTCACCAGTTGAGGCACTACAAAAGAAGCCATGCTGGGTACTATAAAATCTAATATTACAAATGAACATTCATGTTTGTATATAATGGGAGTGACAGATACCACTCCAGCTCCACTTACTAACAATTTCTGCACAAAGCTAGATGATCTTAAATCATTCTTCCTCCTCTCTTAATCTACCCTATAGTCTATAGCAAATGAAGTAAGTTCTGACTTGCAATAATTCCATAATTATAATCACCCAATCTTCCCAGGCCCAAAACCCAAATACATCTTCCTGTACAGGACAGGGGCTACAAATCTGAAATATGTAATATACTAAATGGAAAAATACCTCTATTCTACTGCAAACATTCATTTCAATGTCTTTTCTTAAAATCTCCCAGCACAAATGGATTAAAACTTCACAAACAACTGGTAATTTCAATTCCTCTCTGAACTGCAGTCAATATTCTCCACAGAATTATCCCATGCAATATAAATGCTCTCTTCTTACAATGACCAGATCAGGGGTGTTTTGGTGACTTCAGCTGCAAGGCTTTTTTATTCTTGACAGCAAACCCTTCCCAACAAAGGAGTGCTCAGAAAGGCACACAAGGAACTCAGATTCCAGTAGAGATACAAATACCTTTCATTAGGTACCAACTAAAAATCTGGTTTTATGTCCAATACCTAATAATAAGAGCAATCTTCAGAATTCTAGCTTAGTGGAAACACAATTATAAGAACTACTTTTAAATTATAAACTGAAATAGAATTGTATCTGAAAAAGAAAAAGATAAACAAAACTTTGTACCTCGTTGCTTGTCAGGAAGTCATAGAGGGTCCAAATATCTTGGAAACTACTGGTTGGGGTCAAAATTCTGAAAAAGAAAATTTGGGGAATTTTTAAAGCAAGTATAAAAGGACTGTATGGAAGACTGAAAAACCAGAAGTGCTTAATGAAAAACATAAAATAAAACTAATTACTTTCTTTAACCAAAGAGAAAATTCTGATCTTTGAAGAAGCTTCCCTTCCACCCATCCCCTTCCCCTCCTCTAGAAGAATGAAACGAGCTTATTATTTCTGTAAGGAGTTTCTATGAAGTTTTTTCCTCATTACAGTTTCAACTGATGGCTTTTTAAGCAATTTCTCTCTCTAGATGGGAACAAAGCCAGCAATAATTAAAAGCCTTTTGTTTCACAGCAGCAAAGCCTGCTGTATGAATGTGGAGCCACAGACAAGCCACACGCAATCCCCAGCTTTCCCACAGCAACTGCAGCTCTAACTCATTCCCTCTGTACAAGCTCAAATGCTACAATTTGCATACTGGTTTTGCTGCTTCTAATAATAACCACTTCCCAGCCAGTACTGAGATGGGAAAACAGGGTTTGACAGCTGAGGTGCTTTTACGAAGAACTGTGCATGGTGTAAAATGCTCTAGTTTTATTTCTCTGCAACTGCACAGAGCAGCCAGTCACAGCTCAGTATTCCCCAAAATTCAGTCCTTGGTCCCCACATTACAGGGATATCAGCTGCAAAGCATCAACTTTTGCCTCTCTGTAAAGGGAACTCCTGAGAGATATATACCCTTCTCCAGAAGGCTCCAAAAATGATCCAAGAATTCTCAGGTCTCTCAAAAATTCCTACTCCTGATCTGTTTAAGCAGATACAATTCAGCTGCACCTCCGTGTGACTCCATTTGCATTCACCAGGAAAATTCAGAACCCTCTTAAAGAGCACAAATCTACATTAAAAACCACATAATACATTTCATATAGTGATAAATACTGACAAAATTCTGCCTTACATCAAGTTGTTACATATGTAACTAATGATTAAGGAAGTGACTGGGTTTGGAAAAAAAATATTTTGAAAAAAAATCTTCTTTTTGGGAAGCTCTGTTTACTTTCCCACAGGAAAGTGCCCAAATTCTCCTCTCCTTCCCCTTGGAAGCAGTAAGCCTTTATTAATGAGTTAATTAAAATTGAATAAAACCCAGAAAAGTAACCAGTCAAAACCCCCAGTTTAAAGACACTGTATTTTAAGCAGGCTGGAAGACCATGACACACCACAGGATTTATCATAACCAGGAAGTGTGCTCCTTGTTTTCATCATGATTTTACACAGGAATTATCCTGTGTAATCAGGATAATCAGTCCCACATTCTTTCCCCTCCTTCTTAAGAAGATGCACCCAGAATCTTCTGTTCTAAAACACTTGACCTGCCAGCTCCAAGTCAGCAAAGAGAACCAATGGGGAGTTTGCCTGAAAACCCCTCAGAGCCTCCCACTGCTGTCACCCTGGTGAGGAAGCCACCAGCTCTGACAGTGCAAAACCCCAGCACAGACAGTTTGGCAGCCACCCCTGGCACGGCTGGGAATGCTGGCATCGCAGCCCCCGTTCCCACCGCCCAGCTCGGCAGACCCAGCAGCCCTGGCTGCGTGGACAAGGCAGCACTTCAGGCACTTGCAGGATAAACCCAGGGGCCCAGCCGAGCCCGGGAACGCGGGGCTGCCCCTGCTGGTGGTTCCTGCCCCGCTCTGTGCCACGCACCAGGCAGGAAAGCTGCCAGGTCTGCTCTCGCACAGGGAGCGCAGGGCGGCTCAGCACACCACAGGTGAGGTCTTGGCTCCCCCTGAGGGCCGGTCCGTGCTGCCACACCATGTGCTGGGGCAAAACACCCGTGTCATCCCAGTATCTATCCTGCTGGAAGGCGGTCGGGTCAGTAAAGCTGCCTCCACAGCCGAGATGCTGGTGGGAAACCCAGCCAGGCAAAGCTTCCTGACGGATGGATGGAGGGTGGGGGGTGAGAGAAGGAAGAGCTGTACTAATGGTGGATTCTGTGGAAGAAAGATGTATGTAGACCTATGAACAAGTGAAGGAGAAGACTGCAAGCTGAGTGGGTGGCAGGACCCCCAGTGCTGCCTTTCCCTGGCACAGCACAGCAACCCTGCGTGGCTGTTTCTGTTCACCTGACTTCTTAATTCTCCATCCCCAGGGCACACAGGAGACCAGAAACTTCCTATTGCACCCCACCACTCTTCACCAGCCTACATCTAAAGCAAGCCAGCTTGGAAGTCATTTTTAAGCAATATTAGGCTGGAATTCCACGGTAATTTTTAACCCACTAGTTTTGCACAGACCTGGAATTCTCCTGTGTGTGTGACAGCAGCCAGCACAACACCCACATCTCCTCTCCCTGCACAAACCTGAGAATGTGAAAGCACCAGCACCAAAGACACTGTGTTCCAGCCTTTCTTTCCAAAGGGAGCACTTCTCAACCATTACTGGAGAAAATAAACTGTTTATGTATTCAAATCTCTAACACCAGCTGAGAAGCTAGAGACTTACACGTGATGGGTGTTTCCCAGGCTATGCAGTCTCTGCACTCACCAAGGTAACCTCACCACTCAGTGTCTCCATCCACATATAAGTAACTTAATTTTAAACCCTGTAACTTGTTTTATGGTGTCTGCTTGGATTATCACAATTGCTTCTGGGTTTAAAGCATGAAATGGGAATTCTGCCATTTGGCTCAGAGCTTTACAGTGTCTTCAATAAAAGACCTTTGTTGTTTTCAAGGAAGAACCTTTGCTGTACTGAAAAGAAGTTGGTGAGAGAAGAGGTTGCACAGTAACTTCCCCCACAAATTCTTAACAGGTCAGCATTCATAAAACATGCTTATTGCTGCTTCCAACTAAAAAGGAACTGGAATACAAGTTTCAGTCTTGGAATACAATGTTCTGTAGAAAATTATAACACAGTCCTGTCTGCAGGGTGATGATTTCACACCACTGCTGATGTCTACTGGTTTTAAATAGGTTTATGTTCCTTTCATCTCCTGTAGCCCCACTGTGTGCTACTGAAAACACAAATTTTAAGAGATGTACATCTGGACATGTCTGTATTGCACACCGACCCTGCATCTATTACTTCAATAAAACATGGTATCTCATTTGCATCAAAGTTCCTCAGTGAAGAAAAGCCTCCCTCACCTATAGAAATATGTCCAGAAAATACTCTCTAGGTTAATTAAACATGAAGCAAATGGGCTCTTATGCAAACCTCTCCTACCAAGCCATGTGAATCTGACTATTGTGACCACTGCAGTATTTAACCACTTCTTTTCTTCTCTCTCCACATGCCACCAAACGTATTTCAAAAGCAAAGGATGGAAAGTCACTGAGTTGCTTTGCCTTCCGTGTCAGTACAGCTAAGCCAAGCTGCAAACAAACCCACGTGATGCACTTCCATTCCTAGTTAGTTCAAACATGATGTTCAGAGAAGGTGTTGGCAAGGATGCTGGGTGCCATGGGAGCTGGACTGCAATTTGTTGATCAAGCTAAAAACTACAGTATGGGGCTGTGCAGTTTTCTGAAAGTATTTAGTCTGGGAGGTGGAGAATGTGTCAAGGAAGGACACAAAAAACGACCATGGGTACCAGTTACAAAATGGAGGCCAGATATTGTTCTTGGGGCAGAGAGGGAGAAAGGAGAGAGTCAGACTTTGGGATTTCTACCTCATAAGCCATAGGGACCCCAAACCACCCAGAACACTTCTCTACCTACTGTCATGTCACTCGTCTGACAACAAACATGCACAAAGTGCAAGATACAGTAATCAAACGTGGAAAGGGACAGGAAATGGCTCATGATGCGGTATCTCACTTGTGCACAGAGAAGACCTGGGAAACAAGCAAAGCCTCCTTGGAAAGGATCAGAAAATTAACTTATCAAATAGAAGGAAAAAACCCAACCCACCAGACAATCTGGCAATGAAAGCAGGTCAGCCTGCCAGCTGTTCACAGTGACTAAAACCCTGGGCAATGACAAGGAAAGCCTATGGATAAAAGTCAGAGGAGACCCTGTCAAATCTGGCCAAGTCTCCACCCCTCAGGAGGTGCCACACTGAGCCTTTCCTCTGTAACAGCTCCACACAATTGCCTGTGCTCCACCACTGACAATACTGTCACCAAGCATTACTGATTCAATCAACTCCTGTGGTTAATCAAACAGGCAAAAGTCAACTTAAGCCATTCAAAGTCCCATGTAACCTCACTGTCAGAGCACCAGGGAAACAAAAAAGATGAGAAATGGAAAAAACAAACCTTCTGTGTGGCTTATTAGCAATTCCTCACTGCACTGCAACAAGGGACTCTTAACTGGTGTTACAACAATCAACACATGCCAGCATCAACCCATTGGGAAATCAAGAGGATTCTTCCCAAAACCAAGTCAAGCTCACACTTTCTTCTATGGTGCAAGAACTGCAGAGCGTTACAAGGTCAGAAAGGTCCATGGCTTTTACAACACAGACTCATTCATTCCAGCTCTTCTGCTTTTTAGACTGCTTTAAAGGCAACCTGCACCTTGTTGAGCACTGCCCAGATCCAGCTGTGTTTGACAGAGCCACAGGTCTCGAGGCTTCCCAAGTTCTTAAAGCTCTCATTAAAACTGGCAGAGGGGTAAAGGACACATTTGGACCCTGGCAGCAGAGAAGGCTGTAGGGAAGTCCAAATGTAATAGCAGATGGCAAAGAATCCAAGTAGGAAAGGAAATGCTAGAACTAGGAGAAAACCTTTTGTCAAATACTGCACATTTTCAACTGTACCAGACAGGGTGATGAAACAAAAGGACACAACTCTATGGAAGGATGAGGGCTGAAAATGTAATTCAACTGTTCTCCTTCAGTGGGTCAAGTACATTTCAGGTTCCACCTAAGCAAATAAATAAATAAACAGGTGATAGGGAAGTCTGATACTTTTTGAATTGGGAATTAATCTCCAATTTATTTCCAGAAGGAGGCTGCATGGGGAGGAAGATTAAGAGCAGAGGTCTTGATTAGAAACTTTATGACAGAAATTACTAAATGCCATGGCAGTCGAAGGGAAGGAAGACCATTTTCTAACTAGACACCAAGAAAAAGTAATCTCAATTCCTCCACTGAACAGATGGAAAAACAAAGAGGAAACAGTTTACCTACATCTATAGAAATCTGTTCTTAAAGTAGTAAAACTGTAGAACTGATTATTTAATCCCAAAATATTCAATTCAGTGATCAGTTCTGAGACAGGAATGTCTAACTCAACTATTGAGAACTTAAAAAATAAATAAATTGTACTTTTAAGTTACAAATGTTCAGAGTTCTCATCTAAATCAGTCTTTCCAAGCATACAAAGTAACTGGGAATTGGAGAGAAAATCCATGCAGATAAAGTATCAGAAAAGCAGAATTTAGTTTACTTACTGCAGTAAGTAAAAGATAAAGATTTCAACAGCTGACACTATAATAGTACACATATTTATGATTACTGTAGCTAAGAGCATATGCTGTAAATTGTGTGTGATTTTAATGCTGGCATCTGAACAAAGTTATTTCTTAGCGAACAGATGAAAAAAAGCAAACTAGAAATAACTATATCACTTTGCCCAAGACTAAACTTTTTCTTTTCTCCTAACAAGGATTTCTTACCTAAAAGTAACTGGGGCAGCAAACATGAAGACATGTAGAGCTGCTTATGAACCCCTGAATCAGAAGTTATATTCAGCCAATGGAAAACGTGGGTTAATGTGAACCCCTACAGATATATTTAAGTACTGTAGCTGAATAAAGTATCTGTGACCTTAAACCTCTCTTCTCTCCAAAGACACTGGGCCCATCTTCCAGCAGAATCAGTGGAATTTCTACAAGTACTGAAAGATTTGGCACAAACTTGAAAACTCTGAATTGTAGAAATAATTCTATCACCTCAAAGTGCTACTTGAAAATTTAATTTCTTTTAAAGATGTAGGAGACCTTAAATTAGGACCCCTAATTAATGGTTCCAAATAATACCCAACTCAAATAATACACAACAGAAATAGAAGTGTAAACCACCGTTGAAAACTGTAAGAAATATTATCCAATCTAAAGTTATTTTAAAAGATCTTATGGTTTTACTTATCTTACTGGAAGTATAAATTTCAGAGGTTTAATAATCTTTGTTAATTGCTAGTCAATGTAATATCCATCAACATCTACCCTCACCTGTCAAAAGTATGGGTATTTCATGCTCACTGCTAAAATGAGAAAACCTCAAGAACACACTGACACAACAATGGCTGCAGGGATCAACAATATTTGATGAGACAACTAACACAATTGTTTAAATACATCCCTGCTGCCAGAAGAAGCAGGTAGATTACTAACAGCTGCTAACCATACTACTTACTGACTGGATTTTGGAGCTGAAAAAAACATTTGTGGCATGCAGTATTCTGCAGTATAAATACCACTCTGCTACCAGTGTTGTGAGAGGAAGAAGCAAAGATAGAATTAAAAATCTGTATGATAAGACAAAAGCTATAAAAATAGGGTAAGATGCAAAAAACTGTTCCATAAAACAGCTATTTTAAAATATCTGTATTTGTCATAAACAAGTCTGGTCTTCAAGTCTGAACAGCTGTAGTGGTGTCACTGATGTAGTATTTTCTTTATGAGGAAGGGTATCACTACACTAATTTATCTCAAAAAGCATGATTGTCCTTTTCCAACTGTTCTTAACAATCTGAAAATCTGAACTTTCAATGCATTTGAAATTGCAATATGATTTATTTGTAGAACTTCCAAACTTTCACAACAGTTTCTTTCTGTTTTGTTCTGGACAGCAAGGAATAGAAGCTAAGACTGAAAACACTTGCATTTTATCACTAAAGCTGTATTACCTCCAAATATTCAAGCTACAACTTTTTCACTACTTTTTCCTCAGATGTCTCCTTAGATTAACTTTAAGTCACTGGGAAAAAAATGTTAAAAAAAAAAAAATTCCTCTTAAGTTTTGTTTTAGAAAGAGTGAGCAACATCTGGCAAAATGAGCCTTGCTCTGGCTTTTGGAAACTTCAGACTTCCTGTTTTAATACTCCACAATATAGATAAACCTACAATGATCCATAAATATGGCTTTTGACTCTTTAGAAAACCGACTCAGAATTTCTCCAACAACGTAAGTCTCTCTACTGAAAACTAAAACAGAAGGTAACACGTTAGAGTCTGAGTTTCTTGCTCCACGATGCCCTCTACTGATAATGCAAGTTCAAAAGCTCATTTGGTAGAATGATAGAAAATACACTCCTTGTGAAAAAAAATATCCAATTATCTCCAACAAATAAACTTCATTGCTATAAAAAAAAAACAAAATTAAAAGACTAATCTAAGACTTTGCAGAAGGTACCCTATTCTACCCAAAGCTTCATTTGTATTATTATGCAGTCTCTAAAAAAAGGGAGAAGACAGAGGGAATATCATCCTTCCTAAAGTGAGAGTCCAGCTGACTGACTGTCATTTTTACTGCTTCAATACAGGTTTAGACTATGAAGAATTGGTAACAGTGAAGTCCCAAAACTTTAAGTCCTTCACTGTATCAGAAATTCACCTAGCAGGCCTCACATTTGAAAAAAGATGTTCTGAATTATTCAAAGTTCTTGCTATCAGAGCTAATGTAGGAGTTAATCATGTCATAGTTCTGGTTACACCCTGAGAAGAGGCACGTGGTTGAATTATTCAAAGTTCTTGCTATGAGAGCTAACATAGGAGTTAGTCATGTTCTGGTTACACCCTGAGAAGAGGCACGTGGCTCATCATCAAATACTGGAAAACAAGTCTTGAGTCATAAGAGAAAATTCACTACATGAGATCTGAATGTCTGCAACACTTTCTTACTCTTTTGCTACCAAGAAATGTTTCTAGGTAGCCTCGATATCAGGATTTTTACTGAAAGTCATGTAACTAAGCACACATCATAAATTGTAGTTTGGCATCAAAAGATTGCAGTGACTTTTATGACTTGAAGTGACTGTTGCTACCACCAGCTTTTATGAGGAGCTCAAATACTTACCTACTAATCCCTCCACGGATATCATTCACAGCTGCCAACAGTTTCTGCAGACCTAAGAAAGCTTCTTCAAATGAAGACCTTCCTGTTGTAGTTAGGGCATTGAGGTCCAACTTTTGGAAAATTTCATTACTAGTATTAGAGAGAAAGAAAGCAGACACATTGAAAAGCAGTTAATAAAAATCCTCAAAATTCAGAGAAACCCAGTACCTACTGTATGCATTGTATTTTGACTATTGAAAAATATAGGTCAAATGTAAAATGGTACTAAAACTGTACCAAAGCCATGTTATCTAAATAGTCTTACTATAAACAGAAAAAAACCATGCCCTACAATTGCACTTATCTGTTTAAAATTCTCCTTGTTGACTGTTTTCTATAACATGATTTTATCTTCGACCTGAATACATTTATAATTCACTTGTGAATGAAACAATCTCTTCATGCAGGTCCTGAGTACACCTGAGTAAGCCTCTCTTGGGAAAGCACTGTTCAGCTAAAGAAGTAAGTTAAGGGCTTTCCAGCAATTTTCCAAGCAGATTCATTATCCAGATCTACTGGAAAGGGCCTGACACCTTCCCTGGAACAGCTGCACTGGGACAACGAGCTGCAGCACCCTCATCAAGAATCATCCCCACAGGTACAAGGTAAGGGGTATTTTCTTGACATGAGCAAGAAGAGTGTGAAGTGACCTTTGATCCTAAAATTTTATCCTCTTTTCACAGCATGGTCCTTACCAGGTGGCAAGAGCCAACAGTTCAGTTGCATTTTCATTATAAAGTGGTACACTTTCCTCAATGCCTAGATGAGACCTTAGTGCTGGCTATTAGGTGAGTCCTGAACAGACCACCAAAAAGGGAGCTCTTTGGTGCCTGACATAACTCAAGAGTTCCTCCTTTGTAAAGATTTCAGATTAAGACTAGAAAAAAGGAGAGTATCTATTCAGATTTTGTGACAGAATTCAAAAGACTGAAAAATCTGCTTGAAAAATCATAGAGCTGCCCGAAACAGCAAAAATTAAAACAATGGTAAAATATCTAGATGGAAGAAGGGGTTAATTTCCTGCAATTTTGAGTTTGCATGAAAAAGGAAACTCATCACTAGATTCTGCATTTGGGTTTTGCTTAAAAAGAAAATTACTTTTCAAATGGATTTAAAGAAAGTAAACAATTTTGCATAAGCTAGGACACCTCCTCAAGATTTGGAAAGAAGATAACCATCAGAAAAGTTTGAGCTTGAATGCCCCTTTTTTACAAATAAAGTCGAGATTTCCATAATGTCTCACATTTGTGGCTCTTACAGGGTTATCAACACCCTTCTGTAAGGCAACTTATTTCAGCCACTGTCCATAAAAAAAGGCAGATGACTGACTGCACCCACATGACAATCTGCATGACAAGTTAGGCAACCTTTTTTCTTCTTTTTTTTTTTTTTTTTTAAGGTTTGATTAATTACTACACAGTTTCTTCTCTAACATAAGAAAAAACAAACCAACCAACCCACCCAGCAGTTCCTAAAGTGAGTATGTTTGAAAATGATGTGAGATTATGTAGCAGTTCTGAACTCGTTAGCACATCGTACCTGTAGGAGTTGATTGTATTCCACAGACCTTCAAGGACTGACCAGATTTCTTGGTGCCTGTTTTCCTGAGGCACATGAAAGCTGGATTCTAGCTTAGTTTCTTCAGAGTTTTGCTGAATTGGTGTCACTGCTTCCATTTTTTCACATCCAGCAGTTTCTGAAAAAACCATGACGTCTTCTGGTAAATCCTGCTCACTGTCTGACCTCACCTTATAAAACAGTTTAGCAAACAAATTATGAGTGTATTTGGTTCCTAACCTAAGAAAACTTGAACACTTCTACAATTTTTATTTTTAAACAATTATCAAAAAAGCAAAGTCCTAAACTGACATGGCACAACCTGTGTAAGAGCAGGACAAGGGCAGCAGGAAACAAGTTTTCAGGCAGAAAGGCTGTTGCTGCAGGCCAAGTGGCTCTGGCTACAGCACAGCTGACAGTCAAGACTCCCCAGACCATCCTACCTTCAGCTTTCTCCAAAACCTTCACCTTTCTCCATAACTTTTCACAGATATTCTGACCTGTACTCTTTCCTATATATAGAAGTATTTCCAGTCACCCATGCTTATTATACCATTTTTTATGCTATTACATATGGAGTAACAGTAACTACAAACCAAGGCACTGATATTTCTTCCATCACAACTCAGAGATGAGCTGGAAGTAAAAATAAGACACTTCTCAGAACACAAAAGGTGTCAGGACACCCCCAATAACCATCACAAAACACATGATACATTGAGTCCTTCATCTGTAGCACCAGAGCTGGCCAGACACTGAAAGCTGCAGTAGCATGTGTGGGAACAGTAGTACTGGATCAATGTCACAAGTAGAAACAACAACTTTTCTCTTAATCTTTAAGGCTCTTTTCCATCAGCTACAAATGCAAGAGAAAACCATGACATTTGTCCTGAAGGCAGCTAAAGCAAAGTTTTCAGTCACTCTCCCAGAACTAACATGTTTCTATTAGTACAAAAAAAAAAAAAAAAAAAGGTCTACCAAGCATATACATATAAGCTGGTTATTTGCTACATGAAAGTAAAAGTTAAATGAGGGGGTCTACTAATTTTGAAAACACAATAACAACAACTATTCCTCCAATAATGAGTTGGAAGTTATGACAATAATTTGGAAAGCTAAGCCAGGTTTGTAATACGAGCAGAGAGCAAGTCCAAGAAGCTGTAGGTGAACAACCACTAAAGCCTCCCTTACCTCTTTAAGTGTCTGGAACAGCTTAGTCACTTCAGCATAAGCCCTGGGAAGGACACCATTATAGTCTGACCTTGAACTGAAAGCATGGAATAATGCTTTGGATTCCTGAAGCAAGAGATGCATTGTTGAGGAGTCAAGCGGGCCTCCTGAGATTTAGACATTGATATGGGAAACAGAAAGGGTGGGGGGGGAAAAGTACTAGATATTAGGAGCTATCAATCTTAGGAGGGAAGTTTAACAGTCAAGTATCTGGATTCACTGAAGCACATAAAAAGCACATAGAGAAAATTTAATCCAGATATTTGAGTATTAACTGAAGAACATAAAAGGGTTTGAAAGCAGTTCAGAAGCATCAGATCAAGGAGTCTCAAGAGAAACCTGTTTGAGGTTAACATGTCTCAGTTCTTAATCAAGTCTTCCAAACTGAACCCTGTTTCTGGCAAGAGGGTCAACTGGTGTATCTAAAATAGTTCTGGAGAAGAGCAATATCCCAAAAGAAGGACATCAGTTAAAACAAATTTCTTTAAAGAAATGATTGAAGTTTGGGGTGGTTTTTTTCTGGATTTTTTTGAAAACAAACCTCCCTGCTCTCATCTACCACGCTAACTAGTCTTTACTCCTCCATAATACATTTGGCCAATGCAGATCATTTGGCCACACACAACATGGTGGCAAAGGACGGAGAAAGATTATTTCCTTTTAAAAATAGTTCAGAGACCTTGGTGACCATTAATATTTCGATTAATGAAAATGTTTTTCCCTTGATTTTTGCAGGTACAGGGAGATGTGTGAAATAAATTCTTTTGCTTTTACTGTCTTTTATACAAAGTAAAACAAAACCAGCAGAATAGTGAATTACAAAAAAAAAAAAAAGCAAAACCAAGCAAAACCCCAAAACATTTCAGAAATAATTTTTATGACTTTCACAGGTGATATTTAGACCATCTGGGACCAAAGCCTGGACAGAGCAAAATAGTAATTTAAAAAAAAAAAAAAGCAAAACCAAGCAAAACCCCAAAACATTTCAGAAATAATTTTTATGACTTTCACAGGTGATATTTAGACCATCTGGGACCAAAGCCTGGACAGAACCTGCTCTTGGCACAAGTTGGTTTTTTTTTTCCTCTTTATTTCTTTTTTCTTTTTTTAATGTTGCTCATAGCTCCTCAATTTCAGTTCAATTCTGGCTTTAAGGCTTCAAAAACAATGTTGGGATTTTGTTGCCCACCCAGAGAATAAATTGTGGAGCAATACAAAAGTAGGCAAGACTGCCCAAGGAATGGCTCCATCTGGAAAGTCTTAAATTTAAAAAAAAAAAGCAGAATATGGAACACATCACTATTTAAACATCCAGAATCCCTGTAAGTGTCTGCTTCTGTAACTACTAAAACCAGAACAGAACAGTGAGGTTTCTTACAAGTTTACAACTCACATTCTCAGAGATTCTTACCTGTACAAAGGTGATTATAGAGACAATCAACGGCTGAAAGTAAATTCCTTGGCACAATACAACCAAAAACAGCCATCCAGTGCTTTCTGTAACACTTCAGCAAGTTTGCTAATGTCCATGGTGGCTTCAGATAAAGGATCTGAAAGATAATGTAATAAATTCAAAGGCTGACTCCTACATGTTTCACAACTGCTCTATTCAATAATGCTTAATGATTTTTGCCTGCAGAAGCAGAATTCCAGTGATTCCTGAGAAACAAGGCTAGATTCAGATTTGTCAATTATATATTTATCAATTATCTATTAAAAAAGATTTTGTTCAGGTTAAACAGAGATGCCATGTAGAAGCATTCAGTGTTCAACAATAATCTTTCAAGATGCTGGAGATTTTTTGTTCCCCTTTCCTCAAACATTCTAAATACTCTTTAGTTATCTTTTAAAGTGATTTAACATATCCCTTTTGTATAAAAACAGAACAGCATGTAAGTGTGCCTTTGATTTTCTAGTATTGTTAAAAAAGTAAAAATAAACACACTTTTCCTAGCTGTGACTATATACATGAAGTAATATACACATATTCCAATAAAACCGAAATTAATTTCCACCAAGTGAAACTAGAGTTTGGGAAGATGTTCCCAGGAATCAGTGCAGTTAATCAGAAGTGCCTAGAAGCTTAATAGCTGATCAAACCTCTTATCTTGTGGAACAACAGGCATCCCATTCAAGTGTTTTTGTTGTGGGGTTTTTTTTAACATGAAAACCACAGAGGCTTACTCACAATAAATTCAAACTTGTAACTATGCTTACCAGGTAAAAGATGGAATCTAAACCACAGCATGGATAATTTGAAAGTGCTTTGTATATGAGTACCTATTTTCTGTTAACAATACCTTTGAAAGACTGAGTGTTTGGAGTTTTGTTGTTAACACCTTTGTTATTCTGAATCTGCATTGTGACCATTGTAGCTGAGGTCAACTTCATGTATCTGGTGGCTAAAAACATCACTTCTGATAGGGAAGGAGTGCCTGCCACAACAGTCCCTTGGCATTGTCTAACACATGATGGGGTAATTTCTTGAATAACATACTTACAATGCAGTGATTTAACCTTAGTGGAAAAGCTAAATAGAAATGTAATGCAATTACTTCAAAGAGTTCTGAAAATTCACACTGAACAGCCAGCATCTCTATTACCATGTTATTAAAATACTATTAAAAATCTGCACAGCCACTAGTAGTCAAATAGAATGAGCTTGTTATAAAATGAAATAGTAAAGCTCAACACTGAGCTGTTCACTGGCAGTGAACAGTTAAGTCAGTGCACTAGATGACTTGGCTGTACAGGTATTTTAATTTTAGTATCATTAAAATACCAAGGACATTTAAACTTCTTAGTACTTGAAATATCAAGCAAGATCACATAAGAAATCACCTCCATCCATAGGTTTCCAAATGCAATTTTCATTTCAGTCTCCAAAATGCAAGATAAAGCTTCTCCTAAGTTCTTCTCAAGGTCTGGAAGTATATTTGGGAATTGCTGAGTAGGAGCAGCACTCCCTCCTTCTGCTTTCTCCAACTCTGTATCTGTCAAACCAATGATAATAAGAGGTACTTATTGCAACCGTTTTCATATCTGATTTGTGTTGACAGAATACAAATAATTTGTCCCCACAAATAAAGACAGACTGCACTTTATATTTACAATATAAAGCAGATGGGCTGCACCTAATTAGATTTCAAGTATTTCTAGTTATACCCACTTGTACTGTGGGCATTTTTAATTATGAGCTACTAACCAAGAAGATTAATTTCCCCAGAGCACTAATAATTTCTGATCTTGCTCCACATTTCTTTTTTCCTTAAATAACTTGGATTATATACAGCCAATGAGGTTATCAGCAAGTGTAAGATCACTTCTTAGTATTGTACGCTGTACTTGTACCTTTGGAAAAATGAACAGGCAACCCAAGAATCAAGTTCCATGTAAGGAGTGTTCCTAGCATACTGAATTTTACAGCTACTAAGAACAGGACCCAAAGTGGCTCAACTCAGTCCTGTCATGGACGAGAGAAGGACTTAAGGTCGCTGAAAGAATCACTGTCAAAAGTGATTTTACTGTGAATTTGTAAAAGAGCAACTTAACAGAGTTGGATGGCAGGGTTCACTCTATTACTTACTATGTGGAAGGAACACATAAAGACTGGAATTGGGTTGGAGTAATTTACATGGGGATCAGGAGGAACGATTTACACAGAGATCAGGGGAAACAGAGTTAGGATCAGGTTGGAGCGGTTTACACAAGGATGAGGGAAAAAGAATGAGGAAGGCCCTCCCATTGAGTCAGGAGATTCAACCTGGACTCCTCTGCTTTCTAAACTTCTTCTCTGAACAGAGTCCAGCTGGGGCAGGATCCACTCCCAGTCCCCGACTTGATCTACTGTTTATGTGCAAAGGTGCAGGAATCCAAGTGTAGTGATTCAACACACGACTATGGCTCTCGTGCACCTTTGGGGTAGCAGAAACTTCAGATTCATTGACACCACCATGATAAATCACAAGATAGGTTGTATGATTTCCTAGCAAAACTTGATCCATCAGTGATCAACAATTTGCTATAATCAACATAATAACTTACTTAAGAATGTACCAAAATGTCCCACATAAAATACAGAGATACAGAGGTTAACCTATGATTAAGATGTATTTTTTCTGCTTATTATAGAAAATTTTGGTACTC